ACACCGAGTAACTGTTAAAATTCAACCTTAAAGGGTAACTAACTAAATAAATTAGTTACTTATTACTAGTAACTAGTAATTAAACTATATTAGTAACGAATAACGGATCTAGTTACTAGTAAAGTAACGGCAAAGTGGCATCCCTAATCGTAGTACTCTGTTCTATTTGCATTTCTTAGTGCAAGAAATCGGACTACATGCTATTCACTTAAAATTTCACCAAATCTTTTAGATATTTCTGTTATCTGTGTCGACAACAGCTGCCTTTGTAAGATTTCATATTGAAAAAATATTGGAAAAATGAATCACTTTTTTTCATTGTTTTTTAACAAAAAGAAAAGTGGATATGTGTTTATTTACATATAGAAAGACAGCGGAAAGGAGAAAAAGAAAAGAAAAGGTTAAATGACTCAAAAAGCAAATAGTATCTAATACATATTATATATTTCACTCATCTAAAGAATTCATTCACAGGAAAAAAAAAACGTGTTTAGTAAGGCGTCGCTAATTCGAAATTCAAGCGCTATTTTATTTTTCATTTCTTTATACATAGCTGGATAGCGTGGAAGCTAAGGATGACGTAATTATAAAAAACATAAAGATGTGTACACAGTTTGATACATTTTAGAAATAGTAAGTCTAGTGCAAAAGGATCTTGTATTCATTTTGGGGTGCAGAAGTTACAACACATGACGAGCGAAAACGATTTATAGTATTAATATGAGAGTAAAAGAGATTAAAATTAGATAAGGAAAAAATAAAAATAATTTTTAACTATGTTCTGTATTATATTAATACTATAAATCGAGGCGAATTTTAGAGCTCTGTTATTAAGAACAAATATATTCTCGAAGTGTATACATTGTAATGCAATAACTTTCAGCTTTTGTAAGAAAAGATCATGTCCTTTATATATATTAGGAATCGCAAAACAAATAGTGGTGATTGAAATTATGTAATTTTCTTTTCTTTTTTTAACTTCGAGATCTTCAGATAACTCAAAAATATTATTGTGTTTCCCAAATCTTGAAAAACTAAAATGAGTGGAAAAACTGAAATGAGTGAAAAACTCATTTTTTATTGAAAAATAGAAATTAAATTCTTTATATTTCAAAGAACTTGAATGAGATCTTCAACTCGTTCTATGAAAACTCGAAGAATACATTTGTTTTTAGAGTGTAGATGGATTTAATATTTCCAAATGAATTATTTTTGGATTTATTCGAATATTTATCTCATATCGATTTGTATCGTTGCTTTTACGGCTTAAATTCTCGAATTAATTCAATTGTTCGTGAGCATCTAACGTGCATTAGTCTGTTCCCATCGGATCTGGCTGATAACGAAACATCTTATTGTATACAACAAATGATACTCAAATTTTGTGAACAAATTATCTATTTACGATTAGGCTCGGTGAGTATTCCTGTCGAGATATTCACAAATTTACAAACATTAAAACTTCAATATCCTTATGTTCGACAACTAAATCAAATTCATTCAACGACATTTCCATATCTAAAAACATTATGTGTCATCGGGTTTAATAAAAGAAGTGTTACACAAGAATATGAACAATTGTATTGTCGTATATTCTATGGTGAATTTGATTCATTACTTCAACTTGAATTACCGTATATTCGATCCTATTTAGATCATCAAATATCATCAAAATGTTTACTTGAATATTTAAAAATCGGTCGAAGTTCACAAAGAAACGTTTGTTTATTAATACAAAACTTAGTTCATTTAAAAACATTATCAGTTGGTCTCGATAGGGATAATAAATGGACAAGTCGAATGGATTATAATAACCCTACCTTAACTAGACTTGATTTAAAAGTATTTCATAATTCAATGACATTTGATGAAATCGAAGATCTATTAACACATGTGCTGAATTTAACATATTTTACATTTACAAGTGAATATCTACAATATTCCCAGTTTAGATCAAAATTAAAAGATTTATTGAGTAAAAGATTAATATCAGGTTCAATTAAGTTCATTTTTAATGTTCCTCAAATTTCAGAAATCCAATAAACTGGTGATATAAATAAACTCAAACGAATCTTAGATAGATATGGTGGTTATAGCTAAAAGAAGCTAAACCTGGCTAAATGTTTTGTATCTGATGATCTGTCAGTTGTTCAATTAAATGACAAGTTTTCACCGTTAACTGGAAACGTTTCAGTTTTTGCGCATTGAGAAATTGGTTTTTCAATGATTTCATGGGTTCTTTTTATTCCTTCCCATGTCGTTAAAATCTCTCCGTTCTGGACGATTACCTGCGATTAGCAAAAGAAATCGCCAATTAATCGCAATTTGGACCATAATCGTTCATAAATTGCGATATATCGGCGAATTTTAACAATTGGCGATTAATCGGGTTGCATGAAAATTTGCCAGTTCTTAAAAATCGCCAATATATCGCGATTCTTATAAACATCGGAAATTAATTCTGATTAATCAGCGATCCTGGTGATTTTTCTTTTCTTGTAATAATCGTCGATTAATTGCGATTAATTGTTGATTGTAAGCAACTACATAATTAATTTGTTTCCTTCTATAATCCAACATTAATAGTGTTTTCCACTTATCATCTTCTCCCTGTGCATTTGGTTCAGGTTCTTCGTTGACTTCTAGTAATCCGACTAAATATTCACATTCATTCGTGGTAAACGATAATAAATCTTCTTGTGATGATATACTTTCGATTTGCGATGCTAAATTTGTGTGTTTTGATAAATATGGAAGTTTTGACTTGTATTTTTCGCATGTTTGGTTCAATATTTCATTGCCATGTTCGTTAATGTATTCATCTAAAGCTGCACTCAAAAGAAGATCTTCTATACAAAAAGGATCGTCAGCATTTTCGATGTTCATCACATCTGATTATCTGAAAAAAGAAACAGACTGAAACAGATTTCTTGTTTAAGTTATACTACTCTAGTTTTGATTGGTAAATTAGAAATATAACATCTCTTTGAATCAGTTTTTTTATTTCAATACATTATTATACACAGGTTATTCATCAGCTTTGATTAGAGTTTCTTTTAGATGTCTTCTTCCAGCCATTTTCTGTTAGGTATTTTGCAAACATCTTTCATGTTACTCACATGTGTCTCGAGACAGACGAATATTAAAACTAAGTTGATTAACAGAATTTTATTGCCGTAAATATATTGTAAAAGAATCGCAATCAATAATTATCCACTCAAAAAAGAGTTTGGTCAACATGGAGTTGTTGTGAACCATCATGCGCTATAGAAAGAAAATAAGAAATCTGATCTTCTATTCTATCTACAAAAAAACAACCAGCATACCTTCGACTTTCCAATGTTCAGTTACACCATCCACAAAATCTTCAGCTTCACATTCAATATTTTTTGTAAATAAAAATGTTATTTGCACGCGCAACCCTAGCTGAATTACAAGTCTCCAAAGGTTATTGTGATCATTTTAAAAATATTTATATGGATGTACAACTGACACAGGGTGAGCATGAGAATATAAACAAATCCTCGAGTAAGAATTGTTTTGTCATTTTGCTGCTGTTTGAGGTTATACACAATCCGAATACTGTTCATATCGCGAAATAAAATAATCAATATGTCACGTATAGAACATTATTATTTCTAATAGGTAGAATTTTCAATAGAAAAAGCAGAACAACAGGAGCAGTATGAATTATTTTATTTTATTTTAAATTCCAACGTTTCGATTTATTAAAAAATCATTGGCAAGGATATAAAAATACAAGGTCTAAATTGTATATATATATATGCTGTGCAGTTCTTGTACTTTCTATTCTTTTCTTACTATCTTTCTCTTTTTACTTTCTAACCTATTCAGGAAATAGCATAAGCCAAAGAATAAGAAAGAGAAAAAAGATTGACATTGCTACATATGTGCGTATAGTCTATCTCATCGTAACCATCACATTTACTTATTTTTGTCTCTTTCCTTTTTCCGAACTATACCTTCCGGAAAGATGATCATCGGAACAGAGTGAGTTGTGCAATCTAATTTAGGTTGTAACCTCTTAATCATTAGGATTTCCTTTATGAGTAAATAGTAGGAATGATTATCATGATCAATAACATCAAAGTTTTTCCAATCGATTTTGTGTCCTGTTTCACTTTCATGCTTTGCTAAAGACGATTTAGTTCTCTTATCATCTTCACTACTTGTAGAATTTCCATTGGTAGTCGTTGAGTTTAATTGTGGAACAAGCCGTTGTGTGTCACTAGGTTCAGTTGTCTGAGACATTCTTAACTGTTTATCACGTAACCGAGACGACCGACGTGGAGCTGAGTAAGATGTAACCGCTTTAACCTTCTTACTCCTTCTAATTGGACTGATCGAGTCTTGCAGCTCGTCCGTACCATCCTTCTTATCATCAGATCCTTCTTTATCATATATGCATTGAAAACCTAGTTCTTTCGATATTGTTCTTTATGAGCCATTTAGTTAGACCAATCCCAATACGTGTATTTACGAAAGAGAGAGGATAGCCATTCTGTTCAGCAATGTGTCGAATATTCTCAAATTCACTAGATAGTAGGAAGTAGTTAGAGCAAATCAATAACGCTCTCTGCACCATACTAACAACTGCTGCTATTTTATATTCGAACAGAACGAAAGACGACCATTTAATCATGAGCCCTGTGAATGTCTTTTTTTTATGTCATTTTTGTTATTCTAGGACGTTTTCATGTACTTTCATATCTGCATCCCAATTGTATAAGTTCAAAAAACCAAAGAATGATCTATCTAATTTTGATATTTAAATTGTTATAAATATCGAATATTTTTATAGGTTTCTATTACCTGATGTAGTCAATCTTTGGCGACATTTAGTGCACGATGTTAAGAAGATGAACAATTACTATGTATGTATATTTAAAAAATTATATTTATACAACATCAATGTGTGTTGTTGATACAGGGCTAAGACTTGAATTTAAAATATTAAATTAACTATCTACTAATTTAAGTCTATTTAAGATTAATGCAGTTGTTAATCGTGCAGCCGGGATGTCAATGTTATATTTTTAAATGAGATTATTTTGATGCAATAGTTTTGAAAAATGTAGTAACAAGTGTATTTTTGGATTTCATACATCTTTGAGATAGACGTTATACAATGAAGACTATTATTCAAATATTCAATCAAATATTATGCTATTGAAAAGATTTATACAATGAGAAATAGTTTACAAAAATTGCTTGAAGATACTTAGTTAGATAGTATTATAATCTGACAATTAACGATTATTTTTTTTCTACTTACGAGGGAACCGCGTTCCCGAGCTTTTTCGTCGACACACGTAGGCATATATTATCGCTGATGCTGATTTCGAATATCATAGTCGGAGCGGCATACGGGCCCAAGGGGATCCGGTTTTTTAGAAAATCAGTTTTTCAGACAGGAATAAATGCCATTTAGGCACGTTTTTTTTTCTCTTTCAGCCACGAATGACATTTTTCCGTGTTCAAAAAACTCTTTTTACTGTTATGAGCACAGCTTTTCTCCGATTTGGGCACGACTGTAAAATATTGCTGAATTCTTCTGAGTTACTTTAATATTTAATAGTTAATATTTCCACAAACAAAAATAGTTGTCAATGAGATAAAGCTAGTTTGGCTTTTTGTGGTCGTTCTCATTGTCGTCGTTCGTCCAAATCCTCAAATCTTGCTCGGTTAACCACTGTACAGTAACCAGAATTGATCATTAGCCCAAGCACGTGTTAGCACACATATTCTTTTATTTATTCTGCACTAGCAGACCATAGTCACCATTATAACCATACCGAAAACTCGTCAAATGTTTTTCACAGTAACGGGTATTGTAACCATCTACCGCAATCAATTTGAGACGGGAGAGATACGCGAACTACATGTGAATACTTTTGTCAATAAAATATCTAATTCTTGTCGACACATTGGAGCAGACTTGAAACCGATATGGAAAATTGTACCGGTGAAATACTGGTAAACCGGTGGAAAAAACGTGAAGAAAAATCGATAAGTTCAAAAAGTCCAGATATTGTAGAACTTAGTCGCTTTTTGGTCGAAAGACCGTCGATTAACGTCATTGCAGAGAGTCGGCTACAACAAAGTTACTTTGGTTTCAGTTTTTTCTGGTTTTTTAAAATATATTCAACGAAATTTTTGCAATCTTCTTCCTTTTTTGAATTTTGTTACATGTTTTTATTACTGTTGTAATGCTGAAATACACATCCAGCATCTATATCAGAGATTGAAGTTTGGAAGAGAGGTACTGAGAAGTGACGTGATCTCACCAAATAGGTGATATTGTCGTCTGATTCGTATTCTGTTAGTTTTAAAAAAGACGGCTGGTCTGAAAGAAACTCGAGACCAACACAATCCGAAGAAGCAGTCGCGTGAATTTACACATGAGTTCACAGAGTATGAGGGAGCTCTGAAGAGAGCTGGTTTATAACACATTCGAGATTTTTTGGAAATTACTAATCCTTTCTGATTAATTTGAAAGATGTTATTTTCGACGAATGGAAATCTTTCATTGCGGTTGAAGGTTTTATGACTGTTTGTAAGAGTGTCTCATTATTGAAAGTTATTGAGAAATACATTATTCTCTCTTCTGCTTTAAGGGCTTCTCCCTCAAAAATTGTGATTTTCTGTCAAAAAATTGATTTTGAGATAAGCATATGGAAAGGTAGCCTGAAGTGTCTACTTTCAGACTCTGTATCGCTTTTGGTTACAGAATTGAGTTTTCGGGGATTTTCAGCAAGTTTTTTAAGGGCCTCGGAAAACGGATCTTCAAATAATAGCTTTTTCCTGGATACTTATGCAATTAGAATTTTTCTGAACCCACAGATTTGCAGAGCAAACGTTTCTGGTCAAAATAAGACCTCGCACAACTCTATATGACCTGGCATCAAAAAGTTACAGGCATTTTCCTAGAGGTCCTTGAGCATTTTATACAGCGTTTTCTCTACATGGAAGTTATATCTGAAGTGTGTCCCAAGATTTTTAATAGCAATTTGTCGTAGAGAGTTCATTCTTCTTTTGTTTAGAAGAGGAAAAGAAACTGCATTGACTGACAAGCGCCGATTTTTGAATTAGGTCCTAATTTTTTGTTAAATAGAGGATTTTTAGAAAATCCGGAAGGCTTTTTCGGGTTTTGGAGGTTGTTGGTTATCTGGAAAGCCAGTAAAGGCTTAATTAAAAAGTCGGCGCCTGTCAGTCCATGTAGTTAGGTATCTAGTTTAAAACAAAACAAACCCGAACTCTCCAGCTTGAAGTATATTAAAAAATCTTGGGACACACTTCAGGGTCCTTTTTGAACCTTGATCTCTGGAAAACTCCTGAACCGTAAGATTTGGAGACAAAAAAATTTTTTCATTCCCATAACTCATTGTGCCTAACATTTATGGAAGGTTTCGTCAAGATCGGATGTACGGTGTCGGAGATAATTTCTGAGGGGGTCCCTTAATAGAACTACAAAAACTAAGAAAAATATGATGCCAGTAGGACAGAAGAAAACCATTTCAATATATAGAAGTGATCATACACAAAATAGACTAAAAATGTGAACGTCGCAAGTCATACAGATGATTGCAATGGTAAATTGTCTAGGGGACAATTTGGTGAAAAACTTTTTAACCACGTTTCAATACATGCTTGATGAAATTTATGTTTACACGGTAATAGTTTAATTAATTGTGTTAACTGGTACTTTTCCATACAGATTGTACACATTTCATCAAGATAATCATTTGTATTTTCAATACAAACTGTTTGCAAACTATCTAGTACTGAATTATTAACTGTTTTTCGTTCGACTCTCTCATCTAATCGACAAAGCATCTCGTAATCTTCCGGTGATAGTTCACGATTTTGCATTTCAAGCAGAAAAGTGACCATTTCGTCATCGTGAATGTCATGTGGTATATTTGTTCCGTCGACTGCATAATCCTGTAACCGATACGGAGTGTTGTGATTGACCGCGTTTGTTGTTGTTGTCGTTGTTGGCCGTGATGACTGTGGCAAAGGACGTGATTTTAAAGATGTTGTAGCTGACTTATCATATGAGGGTAAATCTTTCAACACAACAGGAGTTGATGACGGCATATAGTTTAAACTCGGTGGATCTAGATTGAATCCTTTGAGTAAACGATGATTAACGTAGAGATGTTTATTATGTGAATTTATTTTTATTGTTTTTGCATGTTTCGTTTTTATTTGTTGTTTAGCATTCATTTTTTTATGTGAGCGTTTTGATCGGCAACACGCGTGAGCTTCTAAATCATATCGTTCGATCGTATCATATTGTTTCGATGTTAAATTATATTGATCAAGATCATATTCACAACTAGAATCGTCACTATCATCTGACCAATAAAAGCGTTGAAAATATTCTTCATTATGTACATCAATTTCATCACCACTAAGAAAACAGCATAAAACATGAGATCGGGTGTCAACACTTACTCGAGTAATAGGTCACAGCTTACCAGGTATCTTCATTTTGGCCTTGGTTTTCAATTATTTCACCTACTGTGTGCTCAATTGAATCAACACCTTCTACAATTTGTTGGACATCGTTTGCTTGTAAAAATAATGACGATGTTCGCTTTCTCGGTGGTACTATATGAACGTCTTCCGTGTTTGTATTTTCGGTGCTTAAATCTGTTTTTAAAGCTGTTGGTACGTAATCAAGTGGATTAGACAAATGACGTTGAAATGGATGATTATTGCAAAATGAAGATGAAACACGAATAGATTTACCCATTTGAGAAGAATATGAGAATAGCTGTGAAAATAATATTAATGGTAGTAGTTTTAATAGAGTTCGAACATTACGTTATCCTAATTTATAATTGCGAAAGATAATTGCACAATTTTCTTCTTTTTTGGAATATGAGGTTAAAATCGTCTTTTACACGTGTGAGGCGAAGAAAAAAAACACCATTGCCAGGTAAAGAATCGAAAAGGTGAATCAGAGATGAAAAAATAATTATTTGGTTTTGAAGACAGCTGATTTGAAAGACTGATGAACGCTATTTTAAAAAACACATGTCTCATTCACATCTTAGTTATGTCGAACGCGTTTTGAAGATTTTAAATTGAAATTTAAACGCAAGCAAATATTTTTCCCTGGTTAAAAGACATATTTACTCATGAAGAGGACAGCCCGAAGGGAGAAGACAGTGACTAAAATAGCGCTATAGTCAATTTGATTTGTTCCTCTCGACGGGCAAACCTGTCCTGCTCAGGTTCATTAGTAGGGAGTTCTAAGTCACATACGAAAAACGTGCGTAAATGCCATCTAAATGAAAAATGCAAAGAAATGTGTTATGAACCGGTTTTGTGTTGTTTTCCATTATCAAACGTGTTTTAGGCTGTATTAGAGTGCCGAACGCACTGAATTTCACTTCTGCATGAAAAAAACACATTCAATTTTAAAAACGCATTTCTATTTATGTTTTAGATTTTTTCAGTTTGAACTTGTTAACACATCAAATCATAAACGGCAGAATTCCATTTGTGGTCAACTAACAAGGGAAGGTCATTCAAGCAGACCTCTCAGATTTTTATGAAATATATCTTCCACGGTACAGTTGAATATATGCTAGATATACGATATATAATGCTTGAGATATTTCATAAAAAACTGGAGGAAATCTGCGGATGCACGATGTTGTGATCAGTGACCTTAAATTTGTACAAAAACGTTATGTTTTTAGTAAAATATGGTAATAAATTAAAGTTGGGAGCATGCTACATTAATATGAGGTTTCATTCAAAGAAAGGGACGCGAAAATAAAAGATCTCGGTAAATTAGCAGAATGGATCGCGGAAGGAAATAAAGACAGAAAAGATCTCAGGAAAATGTCAGTTAAGCATTTCTGCATAAAAGATCTCGGAAAAAATTTTTTATTTTTTTATTCTGCAGAAAACATCTTGAAAAATTAAATTTATCTATTTATGCAGAAACAATCTCGGAATAATTAATTAATTAATAGCAAAAGCTCGCACATCCGCGTGTACTATGCCTTCCAAACAGTGCAGTCTTTAGCAAAACGATTCTTCAATGCGAAACTTTTTATAACTCTTACAAGAATATGGCACAAATAAAAAAAAGAGAAGAAGCTCACGAGGGAACATATTTAGGTGTTTAAGCTCTTTAGGTCCCATCTTTTGGCGATAGGTAGACCTCAATGAGGTATGAAAAACCTCAAGAGGATTTATCCCCTCGCGCCTTTGTTTTCGAGATATCGAA